GGTAGTTGTGCGCGCAGAATTTGTCTGATTTGTTGAGGGGTCGAGGTTACCTAGGTAGTATCTGCCCTGGCCTAGCACTAATGGTACTTAGCTGGTCTTGGGTGATCTTGCCTGCATAGCTGAGTAATCAGCTTATCTGCATATTGCTTATGCTTGGATGGACTTGTCGGGGAGTGAGCCCCGCCAACGTCATTTGTTTACAGGATCTCTAATAATCTACAGTTACTTTGTCGATCATCTTGATACACAGACTACCTTAGGTGTCAGCATTTAGTATCATATGAGGGATCCCTAGGATTCTAGTGTATCAGGTTATTGACCTCAGCTGCCTCTTATTATCACTAGCCGCGTCATAAAGTAACAGAAACGAAGAAGGTACTCCGTACCTCGCAGCCCCTCAGGCCCTGTGGGTTGGCCGTGGCACTCTCTCTGCCTCTCGACATTAAAGAGTCGAGATTAAGGAGTACAGCGTAGATACAGACATTATTACCTAAGAGAATGCCCCGGATATATGAGTTCCTCCATGTAGCTAATAGCCCCTTTTCACTCGATTTTGACAAAGTCGCAAGTTGCTAGTAACCTGGAAGTCCTACCCCTCTAGGTCATAACAATAAAGTGAGTAGTATACTGAACCCCTGTCAATCCTGAGACCGAAATGGCGCAATGATCGACAAATCGAGTAAACTACACGCCGCGGGCAAAATTATACTTTCCTAGCCTGGATAACCTCATTGAGCCCCATGGTTGGGTAGTTGATAGTCTGTTGCAATGGACCCCACGATAGCTTGTAGCCTGAGCATGTGGATGCCGCGCTCCCAGTGAGACGCTGACAATCTTCCGCATTGCATGTGCGATGGAGGACTCGGTCGGATGGGTTTCGGCAACATAAGCACGGAATAAACCTTGTGATTTTTATAGTGCCGTTTGAAATAACAGTTGAAGTAGTATAATAGCTTAACTTGCCCCTGAATTTCCTCAGGTAAATGAAGCTAGATCTGATACAAAGTAGACAAAGAGGGTACTATATTTGTCAGTTTCACAAATGGACATTGGCCAACTGGATCACGCTGATTACTTTATATAGACAGAGACACGGTACGGACGGGAGGAACGGGGACAATCATATGGGCTTCATGAGATCCATAGTTGAATGCAATATCTCTATTCCAGACTCACGAGTGGACTCAATTCTGCCATGCGACCCATCCGCTGTAGTCTAGATTTCCTTATTTTGACTACGTTACCTGCTTGCTTTTGTGGGGGTTTGAACACCTACCGACGCAGCCATCGGCCGCGCTGCAGATATTTCATACTTCCAGTATGGAGTGAGAAGTGCGATGCTTGCATTAAGCCAGTGGAATAGTTGGTAGAGTGAATTCATGCATGTTGCTAACCTCATCCTATGCTCCCAGTGGCCAGGGGGATAAGCTGGGTGGGACCTTTGATTAGATGGGATTGCAGCAGAATCGTGTATCCTCGGGCAATGCAGTATCGAGATTAGATAATAACGTGGCATTCGAATGCAGGAACGGGATATATATATATATATATCTGTCTCTTTTGAGGGAGTCTTGTTCTGACCCTGTGGTGGGCGTAGGAACAATATCTTTAAGGGATCTCGTCTTCCGGTCATGGCTCTACGTATTGGGCATTCAAGACAGTTCGAGTTGCTGCCCTATTGATGTGTATATATAAATCTCGCTGCTTTTTAGACAAAACCAACAGTCGCTTGGTTGTTGCATGTAAGCTCTTGTGCAAGGATGTACTTCTTCTGGTATGCCGCATTCCATTTAGAAGAACATGAAGAATATGCAACATACGTAGGTTATCAAGAGTGGCTAAGAGAAATTACATGATAGCTACAGCTACCAACAGACTATATATCCGAAGACTTGCTCACTGCATCATCTTGACTTTCGCTCCGTTGATCCTCCACCTCCACCCCCACATCCACAATCGCCTCCACGCCATGGATAACATGCTCCACATTGATCTTGGGACCCTTGAACCATCTGCGTGCGTCGATGACCCACCAGATAGTCACCGCCAGCATAGGCGCACCCCAGACCAGACATGTCCAGTTCATCTGGTCAGGCGTCAGATCCGCCCCTCTCACGCTGGGAAGACACAAAATGGGCACCATCAACAGAACAAATAAGACGCCGAGCCCTCCAATCGCCGGACCAAATGGCCCCAGGTGCCATGGCCCCTTTTGGAAGCGGTTCCCCACGAAGAAGACCCGAATTGAAATGGGTATGGCAAAGGCGACGAACTGTGCAATGGCGCCAATTGAAAACAAGGCTCCGATAGCCACATCGCCGGCCAGAATAAGAAGGCACATCATGATACCTAGGACAGTGTTGAGGATGACGGCGTTGACAGGGGTTTTGGTCCTCTCGTTGACTTTCTTCCAGATCCGTGACAAAGGGAAACAGTCGTCGCGAGCGTAGGCGTAGGTCACCCGTGACGCCGCAACCATGCAGCCTTGGCCCATGGAGAACCCGCAGACAATGGTCAGTCCGAGAACGGCCATGGCTGTCTTGCGCGGCATGACTTGCAGCAAGTACGATGCCCAAGGTTGACCGAGATCCGAGTCAATCACGGCCTCGATGTCAAGGACAGTGTAGGCAACGACCATCTGCAGAAACCAGCCCATGAGCCCGCCAACCCCAGAGGTCATCACAATGGCACGCGGCGAGGCGATGTTTGCATTCGAGCATTCCTCGCTCAGATGGAAAGGAGAATCGTAGCCTGACATGGTCCAAATGACACCGACAAAGGTCATGAGCACAGCTATGCCGTCCGGAAACTCCGTCCCGTTGGTAATGGTGCCCCATACCTCTCTCGAGGGCTTGAATTTTGGTTCATTCTTCGTACCCGCAGGAATAGCAATGAGGACGACAACGAGAGCCATCATGTTGAAGGTCGAACCGTACGAATTGAATCTCGCGACCCATTTCGTCGGCATGCTACTGATTAAGGTGTGGATAATCATAATCAGCGTCGTGAGGAGGAACGTCTGCCAGCTGGTTGGGACATAGTCCGGGTTGGAAATCGAGGCAGCAGCCAGAATCATCGCCGCCATTGCAAAATCTACCGATGGCGCTGCTGTGATTTGGCCAATCCAGTTGGACCAGCCTGTGAGCCAGGCTGCAAAGGGTCCATACCCTGGAGGTGCGAGAACTGCCGCTGCGTAGTACAAGCCACCGCTAATACCTCTTAAGTCATCCCATTCCATCGACGGATACAAGCAAATATACAGTGAACTCACCTTGTCGGCATTGCAGAACATAGTTCAGCCATTGCCATTGCCACACATTGAATGAAGACCATGGCGATGATCCACCCCCAGACCATGCCTGCTGTTCCCGCATAGCCCATTCCTTCAAGTCACTGTCAGTGCCAGGCAGATGCACTGTGATAGGAGAGCGAGGTGTTATTACCATAGTATAGAGTGCTCGCGAACGAGGGAAGTAGCCCTAGCACGGCAAAGCTGACGCAGAACGTAGTCCACAAAGAGAACTCTCGCTTGAATTCTTGCTTGTAACCCAGGGCCACAATCACCCGCTCATCCGCGTCCATCTCATGATCCGTATACGGGATATCCCCGTTTGGCAATACAGACGTGACGGGATCGTGGTCGACATCTTGATAAACCGCCTGTTTCGAAGCGACCTTGGTAGAAGCCATCGCGTCTACTTCAAGTCTAACTGCAGGTCTTGCTCGTGTCCACGGGGGAAAATAACGGGGTGGCAGAAAGGGCGAGCTCAAGGCGTTTCATTACCTTATTAAAGCAGACGAATCCAGCTTTGTGTAACCATCAGATGTAGTTATGATGATAGCACCTTGCATGAGCTGACACTTGCCGCTCACCAAAAAGAAGGATGCCTAGCAGTAGATATAATCATCCACTCCGAGAATAAAGCCCGCCCATTGGCACCAAACCAAACTCTTGGGCCATTGCTGTCGATAATGAGACCAAACTACCTGGGAGATAACGTGAAAGATTAAGAAGAGTGAGGGGAAGAGTCCGGATTCTGATACGCTGGCGCATTGGTCACGCTGAGCTCTCGACTATCTGAGCTGTGGCGGGATTGTCACCAGCAAGGGGCGGGTCGTATTGGAGTGTCATGTCGAATAAGAACAAATCCCCCGCCCTACTGCTGATTTATTGCTTAAAAGGCATGGATGACCAAGTAGATATCCTACACAGTCATATGCATTAAGGCAAAGCTTGGCGGAGAGTCCATACTCGAGGAGGAAACTTCAGGCGGTCGTAGTTTAAAAAAAAAGCTTGGGGAAAGATTCGACGAGAAAGTCAAATGGAGATTAACAAGTTAGGAAATATCAGAGCAGAACCCCTTATCAATACCTCGAGTTGAATAAGCTCCGTTGGATTTCCCGGAGAGTCACAGTGGCTGATAAGAGGAAGAGAGATACGCGTGCCAGATAAGCGCTCCTGTTCGTTTTCGTTGGATGACGGGGAAATGGAGTCAAAGCGGCGGGAAGACGCTGATTTATTGGATCATCACATTCTCTCCAAAGCAGATGTAGTTCGACTTGAGCTGCTCGTCAGGTTATACCTGCCTATGTGGGAAAAGAATCGACGGGCTTGATGGGACGATACTTGACAGACGATGACAGGACATACCTATATAAGTGTGGCGTCGGTGCTGAACTTACCCATGTAGTCAACCTCCAAACAACGACTCACGTCGCTGGTACTAGTGTAATATTAGGGCCCCTGGACGGATCGAAGAGATCGTAGTCATAATTATATGTTGCTGTTGCTTGCCATTTTGAGCCTTATTTCCGTGCCAAAGAAGGAAAGAGAAGGAGAAAACTTGATGGTGACCAGGCGTGTCTATGTGCTATCAAAAACCCATCGCTATTCTACACAATACAGTACCGATTCCTTTTTTTCACCACTGAGCCGGTAACGCACCACCCATACAAGTGGCATTTCGGGTCAAGGAAGACGGGCGGACGTTGCAAGACGTTTAGAACGGCTAGTTAACGGTCAGCAAATCGTCACAACAGCCTCTCGTTTGATTCAAAGGTACGTACGTTGTCCTCGGCAGGGATGCTGCGGTCGAAGTACTCGTCAAGGAAGGGAACCTTGCGCAGGATGTCGTTGCGCACGCGGGGCACTTCACCGAAGAAGAAGACGGCGAAGGTACCAGCAGCAACACCGAAGGTGGCAGCAATGCTAGCGCTACAGATCAAAGCATATTAGAATGGAATGGCAATAAAACGAGCGCGTAGGGTTTCCGGAAGCCTGTCCGCTCATATGTGCAACTTGATAGAAACACCAAAGGTGAGACTCACTACTTGGTGGCCATGTTGACGCTCACGCCCCCGAAGTGGGCAGGAACATAGTACCTAAATTTCATCGAGCACCGCGGTCAGTAAAGCCCTGTTTCCATCGTTCGTCTCTCTGCGACAGCCAGGCTGTGCTTTTGAATGACGAAGGCCCATCAAATCACCAGTTCGGACATATCAATGGAGACCAGGTCACTTGTCAATGCACAACCATTGACCCACGGTCTGGGCAGTTCGTAGGCCTCGCTCGAATACCAAATGCCTCTATGCAATATGCCTGGTAGGGTATCAATTCTCGAAGGGGTTCTCACTTGGGAGCGAAAGGAGAGCGGAAGGCACCAGTAGACTGGGACGCAGCGCGACGGAGGGTTTGCGAGAACTAGAAAGGCAGGAATTCGTCAGCAATTGAACGCTCTCCCTCTTCTTCGAAAGCATCGGGATGGCATAGCAGGCCGAAGGCCGTACTTATGCGGTTAAGCATCATTCATGTTCCCCTGACAAGCGTGCCGAAAAACCCAATCGACAAGAATCGTTCCCATACAATACGTACCATCTTGTTATTAGTTGTGTATAAGTACACTCGACACGAACTACTCCAGCGATGGAATGAACGACGAGAACGATGGTTGTTCGACGAAAACCGAGAGGCTCCGATGTTGCAACTTGCGGTGCAATCCCGCGGCCAATCAGCAGGTGCAAAAACAATCACGTGACAATGACGGTGTCAAATAAGAGGCTTTGGATTTCCGATTCTTTTAATAGGTGGAGAGTCAAGATGATCTAGATAGTTGGACATCGACAAGACATTATGAATCTGAACAAAAAAACAGCATTATGGCAGGAATATCATGTGCGTAGAGTCTCGATCTTCCCAAGTTACTTATTTTGTGACGACATCCATGAATATGAGATTGACGCTTCGCACCATCTGCTCCCTGTTAACACGAAACAGACTTGTATCCATTTGCATAGCTGTCTATTTGTCTTTTGCCCGCCGTGTATTGACAAAATTCCACAGCAGATTTCCTTTGTAGTGTAGTGTGCACCACATGCCCAACACCGCTTCAATCAAGATCAATCAAAGTCAACGATAATGAGGGAAAAAAAGGGTTGTATAAAGGAAAATAGAATGAGAGAGGCATCGTCCGTGTCAAAAGCAGAGACCCATTTATTGATTATGGCAAAATCAAGGAAGAAAGCCAATATGGAGATACGCAATAAAAAACAACACCGGGAGAACAAAACCTAACTGTACAATGCGCTTGATGCTGCGATCTAATCAACCTTTCCGGTGCCGCCGCCGTTCAGTAGACCTTCCTTCCCATCGAGACGGAAAAAGCCGGCACTGTTGCTCTGAACCGCACCGAGGATGCCACCACGACTGAGACCGCGCTTCGCTAGCCTTGCTCGAGCCAAGTAAGTGACGGCAACAATGCTTATGGTCAACAATGCGACGAAAATGATGGGATGGCCGGAAATAAAGGACCGGGTGACAAAGAATATGTATTCGAATGTTCCGACTGTGGACTTAGGCTTCAATTTCGACGAGTCGGCAATGACCAGCGGAATCGTCTCGAGAATGGAGGTTCGCGAGGCCATGATCGGAGCTCCACTAGAAGTGGCGTCCCAGTAGCGTCGGTTCTGTGGAGATGCGATCAGTAATGGCAAACACAGCACTTCTCGAATGACACTTACATCCTGGTCGTTAATGATGACCCGTTCTCCGTTCTCGATATCGATACCAAAAGTGGTCCTCAGCCACCGTTCCCAGAACTCGCCATCAACCCAGGCAAATCCAACTTGCTTCTTGTCATCTTCCCGGATGGAAATGCGCATGTTCTTAGCAGCCCGCAAGGCACGTTGGTCATTGCGATCTTCTGCCTCCTCAATACGTAGCTGCTTAGCGTCCCGAAGTTCTTGTCTTTCCAATCGGAACAACTGGGTTTGTTTGTCCATCCACTCCAGAGCGGCGCTCTTTAGTTCTCTCTTGGCAAGGATGAAATCATCCGATCGACGCCGGCTCAGAATCCCGAGAACGACATATTTCCTGTCCATGATCTCACGGGCGTTAGAGACTGTGAGTTCAGGGACAATTGGCAGCCAAACGGAGCGCATCCAGTTCAGAATCTGTCGGACGTCCCGCATATCCTTGGGAGCCAGAGCATTGTAGTAACTGGGGCGTCCATCTCGGGATACTAAGAGACGAGGCCAGGTCGTGATCTTGAACCGCTCGGCAAGAGTCGCACTGCTTGTCTTGACCAATCTGGCGTGACCAACCAAGTTGAGAGTCAAACGTTCCAAGGCCTCAAAATCTTCCGAGGTCGTTGCGTGGTCGTAAAAGTACAGGAAGATCACTTCTTCCTTTTCTTCCAGTTCTTTGAATTGAGCTGCGTCGACATCCTGAACACCAGATCCAATGTCCACAGCCTTCTTTGCGTAGTTGACCAAATCGCCAAGACCACGTAGACCGGTGTATTCAACTCGTTCGCCGCCGCGGAAGAAGTGCATTGTCGGGTAGGCGTTCACCCGAGCGTCCTTGCAAAGCCTGGGCTCTGCGTCGCAATTCACCTCTCCAACGTTGAGGACATGCTGCATCTCCCGGGCCATTCCCTGCCAAACAGGGGCCAGCGCTTGGCAGTGATGGCACCACGGAGCATAGAACTTGACGAACCAGGGATCTCTAGTAGTCGTGACCAGCTTTTGAAAGCTCTCTGCTGTAAGAGGAACGGATATCCCTTGAGGGTTCGCAGGCGCGGATGGTTTCGAGTTCACCTTAGGGGTAGCAGATTTCACCGGAGCCTCTGCGCTGGCGAGCTGGGCGACATGTTCATTATGCTTCTCACCAGCCTTGGCCCCCGCCACACGGTCCTTGTCCTTGGCGGCGGGGATGTCTGGCGCAGCTTCTGTGTCTACCTGTTTGTCGCCCGGCTCGGGAAGCTTTACGCCTTTCGGGTGACGAGACCCAGGTCGGATTGATTCTAGTTTGCCTTCCACGAACTCACTTAGACCTTCCATTGTCTTAGCGCCCTCAAACTGTTCAACCAGTTTGCCATTATGGTAAAGGGAAAATGTCGGAAACCATTTGACGTCCAGTCTCTTGCAGAAATCCGAAAAAGCAAGACAGTTCATCGAAGCGAAGTGAAAGTTGTAAAAGTTTTGAAAGGAGTTAAGGGATTGAGTATCGGAGGGCTCGGAAGAGGAGGATATCGGTTTCGATGTCTAGCGCACGTTAGACAGTGACCAAGAACGGTTGTACCGAACGTGGATAGAGCACTCACATAGTAGTATTCGTAAAGAGTCTGCCAGGTGGGAGCGATCGCCTTGCAATGGGGACATGACGGAGAATAGTGCTTGACAAACCTGTTGACCTGTTAATAGAACTATGACATGGGTAACTGCTACGGGTACAGAGAGAGAGAGACAAACCAGTAACCGTTTTTGGTAAGCTCCTCAAAGCTCTCTGGTGTCAACTCTTTCAGGGGCGGCACTTCGACGCCATTGAATGTTGTCGATGCCGGCCCCGACTCGATCTTTTCAACCGGTTCCGTTCTTTTGACGAGGCGATCGTTCGCAAGATTCAGACCATTTGCGATATCGCCCGAAGGAATGGCAAAAGTTGGGATAGAGAGAAGCGAAAGGAGCGACCACGCCAGCAACGAGGACTTCATATTGGCAGGCGGTCAAGGTCAAAGACCCGAAACAATAGCTTAACGCTGTAAAACGAAAGTCGAGACTCGTCGAAGAAGAAGTGATTGAAGTAGGTTTTCACAGTAGGCACATTGGACCAAACTCCACGTTTATCGAACAGCTCAATCGACCAGGCCGTGTCAGGGCGCGAAAAGCAGTGCAACAGAAGCAACTGCTTATAATAGAGAAAACTGAACGAACTGCGACCTGCGAACTGCGATGATTTTGACCCTCAGAATGGATGAGAAGGCGGGTGAGTGTTGGACGCCCCCTTAGCGCGTTGGCTGATAAAGTCCAAGTTGACCTCAAGTCTGGCCCCATGAATTAATTCGCTGGAGGGACTAGACTGGTTACTGCATTATGAGGCCCCGGAGTCTTTGTTTCTCCGCTAACCGACGGAACCTCAACCTTCGTGCGATCACTCCGCAGAGACACCCTTGAAGATAGCAGATAGTCCGGCTATTGTCGAATCCTTTGGCCGTTGGGGTGGACACTGAATTACTCTGGGCCAATTCTCTTCTATCTCCTACATATCCTCACATCACTATGAGATCCACATTTCGGTTGCTGGCAAACGTCAAGTCGGCCCGGTACTTGGAGCCCTTTGCTCCTACCGGCTTGACCGGCCTTGTCACCCACCCCAGCCCTCGTCCCACCCTAATTCACCTCTACAGGACCACCTTGGAGAACTTGAAGAGCTTCCCAGAGTCCTCCGTCTACCGGCAATCCACCGAAGCCTTGACACGCCACCGCCTGCAGATCGTCGAGTCCGTTAAGCCCCCAGGTTATGATGCTTGGCTGGAGCGCGTGAAGAAGGCTGTCAGTGCCGAACCCGAGCGCTTCGCTTCTCTCCGTCTCGCCGATGGAACTTATGCAGGGTTTATGCGCGATGACGGAACCGACAATCCCCGTGGTGAGGAGTGGGATGGTGAAGCCCTGGAGCCAACTACCGAGGGGCCTGCTCGTACAGCGGAAGAAGAAGCACGGTGGCACAAAGCTATTGAGGAAGCGACTGCTACACAATCGAAAGATTCAGACTTTGCTACCGAGCAAATGAAGTGGGAGAATGAGCCAGCCCTTGAGGCAGAACAGTACGTTGACCTACGCCCTTATTCTGCGGTCACTAGCGGGGCAACTGACCATAGATCGCAGGGTTGCAGAGATTGAGAAGCAGATCGGTGCTGGCCTCATCGAGGAGGTCATCCAGGTCGCCGAAACCGAACTGAAGCTTGTTGACGAAATGTACAAGTCTAAAGTGTAAGTTTTTGTACCAACCCTACACTCGGGGAACTGATACTTAATGATTTACAGGTGGGAGGAACTGGAAGAGAAGCCTCGCCCGGGTCAGTGGGTCTACTTCGATCGTGTCCCCCCTTCTTCGCCTTAATAGACTTTTGATGTCTCGCATATTACTCGTTTGAATCAAATATACTTGTATTTATTAGCCAACGTGGCCCTACATTAGAATGGGCACCCATTTGAGACAATAAGAGCTGTTTCTACGAGGTTGAAGATCCATTACTGGTCATAGTTGCGCCGCATGGGTCCTACACGCTGAAGCCTGCCTGTGGAACGAGCCTGTATATGGAGTGATGTTGTTGTCCCCTTGGACGACGAGTCCCTGCGTGATAGAACCTGGCACACGCCTCCTGGATTCTATAATTGAAGGACGAGTTCATAGTAGCCTCTTCAATTTCCTGAATATGTAGTTCTTGGTGAGGATGCATCACACAGTAAGTACATCGTCAAGCGAATGAGTGGGACTAGCCTGTCAAGTTCCCTCAGCACATACGACGTTCGCCAGTGTGCGCATTGCGCCATTGGATGAGGCCGAGTCTTACTGCAAGATCATTCTGGATTCTGAAGAGCTGTTTGTGCATCATGATCTCTGAATGTCAGGTGGATATCCATGCCCTTGAGTAAGTACATGAACCAAATAGCGTAGGCGGTGAGCGGTGAGAGTCGCTAGCCCATTCGAGATAGCTGGCGGGAATCCGTTCCCTTGTGGACACATCGCTGCCAGTCCCTGAATGTTTGAGACGACTCCACGGGCCATTCTGTCCGGGGACTTTTGATCTTTTATTTGTTGACCACATTTTCAACTCATTTACTCTAACTCAAACTCTCCTCACTCCCAGGCTGGGCTGTTTGAGCGGCTCCTGGCCCGGTTTCCGCTTCTCTCAGGCCGCACCCTCGACGCCGCACATAAGTGTTCTCCCCCACATACAACATGAGATTGGATGTCAAGGTACGCAGGCAAGCACTCAGATACATATACGTCTACATGCTGTCGACTTGATACTCCGGATTGCAATTGTTTGAATACCCTTTGACATAGTTGCTGATTATTGTTGCGATTAACAGAGACAGCTTTTCGCCCGCTCGGAGCGGGTGAAGGGCATCGACTTCCATCCCACGGAGCCGTGGGTGAGTACTCTTTTCGGTGATTCTAGGCTCTTATAACATGCTGACCTGCTATCAGATCCTGACGACTTTATATAGCGGTATGATAGCGACCTGAGTGGTTGCAATTGCAAATGCGCTGATGAAGACATATAGGTCACGTATACATCTGGTCGTATGAGACCCAGGTGAGCTGCACTGAGAAGACCCTTTTGCGAAGCTTGACTGACCGATATCTTCCATCAAGTCAATAATCAAAACTTTTGAGCTTACCGATGTCCCTGTACGAGCGGGACGATTCATTGCCCGTAAGAACTGGATCGTCTGTGGTTCCGATGATTTCCAACTCCGCGTCTACAACTACAATACCTCTGAGAAGATCGCATCGTTCGAAGCTCACCCGGACTATATTCGATCGATCGCTGTCCACCCCACGCAACCATTTGTTCTCACCGCCTCCGATGACATGACGATTAAACTCTGGGATTGGGAGAAAGGTTGGAAGTGTGTTCAAGTTTACGAAGGTCACAGCCACTATGTAATGGGCCTGGCTATCAATCCGAAGGACACGAACACATTTGCTTCTGCGTGCTTAGATCGCACTGTCAAGATCTGGAGCCTGGGCTCCCCCCATGCTAACTTCACTTTGGAAGCTCACGAGACCAAGGGTGTGAACCACGTTGACTACTACCCGCAAGCCGACAAACCATACCTTCTTACGACTTCTGATGACAGAACCGTTAAAGTCTGGGACTACACGACCAAGGCACTCATTGCGACCTTGGAGGGTCACACAAGCAATGTCTCATTCGCCTGTTACCACCCTGAATTGCCGGTTATCATCTCCGGATCTGAGGACGGTACCATCAAGCTATGGCACGCAAACACATACAGATTGGAGCAATCATTGAGCTACGGTCTGGAAAGAGCGTGGTGTGTTGCGTATCAACGTGGCCGACAAGGTATTGCTATGGGTTTCGATGACGGTGCGGTGGTCGTTAAGATGGGACGAGAAGAGCCTGCTGTCTCGATGGATGGGTCTGGCAAGATTGTTTGGGCAAGACATAACGAGGTGGTATCGACAGTTATCAAGGGTGGTGACCCCAGCATTAAAGATGGAGCACCGCTTTCCCTACCCACGAAGGAATTGGGCTCGTGCGAAATTTATCCTCAGACACTATCACACTCTCCCAACGGGAGATTTGTTTCGGTTTGCGGCGACGGAGAGTACATCATTTACACTGCTCTTGCCTGGAGAAATAAGGCATTCGGTCAGGCTCTGGACTTCGCCTGGGGTTCAAAGGACAACAGCAACGATTATGCCATTCGGGAGTCACCAACGAGTGTCAAGATCTTTAAGAATTTCAAGGAAGTAACCGGCGGCCTCGATGTGGGATTTCAGGCCGAAGGACTCACCGGGGGGGTGCTTCTGGGTGTGAAGGGTCAGGGAGGAATTGGCATGTTCGACTGGGAGACTGGGAACCTTGTCCGCCGCATTGAAGTTGAACCCAAAGCTGTAAGTCTAAGAACGGAAGCCCGGTTCTCATATCGCATTGTCTTAACCAAAGTTGATAGGTCTACTGGTCTGAATCTGGAGAGCTGGTCACACTTGCATGTGAAGACACTTTTTACGTTCTGCGATTTTCGAAGGAGAACTACATCAATGGGCTGAATGCTGGCGAAGCCGATGAAGACGGTGTTGAGTCTGCTTTTGAGGTTGTCACCGACGTCAACGAATCTGTCAGGACAGGTCAATGGGTTGGAGACTGCTTTATTTACACCAACTCGACAAATCGCCTTAATTACCTTGTTGGTGACCAGACCTACACAATCTCTCATTTTGACCAGGGAATGTATGTCTTGGGTTATCTGCCGCGCGACGGTCGTATCTACCTTGCCGACAAGGATGTCAACGTTGTTTCCTTCGGCTTGTCGCTGAGCATGGTTGAGTACCAGACAGTGGTGCTGCGTGGCGACATGGACATGGCTGCGGAGCTGCTCAAGGATGTTCCTCAGGACCAAATGAACAAGGTTGCACGCTTCCTCGAGGGTCAAGGCTATAAGGAAATGGCCCTGGAGGTCGCCACCGATCCAGAGCACCGCTTCGAGCTTGCTCTGTCGCTGAACAACCTCGACACCGCTCTTGAAATTGCCCGTGCAGCCAACGTGGAGCACAAGTGGAAGATCGTTGGCGATACCGCTATGGCAGCATGGAACCTTGCTTTGGCCGAGGAGTGTTTCACGAACGCGAAGGATTTTGGGTCGCTCCTCCTGTTGCACACTGCTAGCGGCAACCGCGCCGGTCTCCGCCAGCTGGCCGAGCAAGCTTCGGAAGCTGGTCTCCAAAACGTTGCTTTCTCTAGCCTGTGGTCGCTCGGGGATGTCGATGGCTGTATCGACCTCCTGGTGCGGACCAACCGCCTCGCTGAGGCCGTTCTGTTCGCACAGACCTACAAACCGTCCCGGGCTCCTGAGCTCGTTGTCCAGTGGAAGGCTTCGCTGGAACAATCTGGGAAATCGAAGATCGCTCGCCTCATCGGCGTTCCCCCCGGTGCTCCCGATGTTGTAGCGACAGACGACGATCTGTTCCCGGAGTGGGATGAGTACCTGCGCTTGGAGAAAGAAGGTGTCGCTCCTGAACCTCCATCGTCCGAGTCCCTGATCGACATCAACGCAGACGATGAGGCAATCACCGGGAGTGCAGAGAACGGAACTGCGGAGGTGGAAACGGAGGCCTAGATAGGCATCGCGGTGGGATGTAATAATGTGCGGGAAAGGGGGTAACGTCGCTTCAATTTTTCAAAGCAAAGCTCGAGCGATTACCTCGGGAACGATTCTCTTTTACATAACTACCTAGATTTATTGCAGAGTTTCTATTGATTCAATTTTCCCTTGCCACTCCATCCATCCATATTCCCATTGTGGCTACCGGGTTGTGTATTTGTCCCATGTTGATCAAGTTCATCGTTGACAATAGCTTTGGTAAATGAGGCGATAGAATTCGTCTCTGTATCGCAGGCCGGCGGAGCCATTGATGCTGATTTACACGAAAGGATTTGCACTGGCCTTAACTCGGATCTATGTAAAAACTTCCTAGAACTTTCTACTTCACTTATAGCTTTCGCTCCTGGAGGCGTCCTTAGCGTGTTATGATCCTCTCAAAAAGGCTTGAGCCATACTTTTGATAGCCGAATTCATGGGGAAAAAAAATGTCATTGCTGTCTATGACCCAGTCATGTTCATGCTTTGCGATGGATGACGAAAGGCCTTCCAGGTGCGCTGAAGTGGCCCAGAAGGAAGAGAAACCAATTCACCAGATTGTAGAAAAAAACCGAAGATGAAAAGTGATACCCCAAGTCAGGATTGTTGCATCAGGATCAGACCAGCAGATCACGGCGTTGGGAGATAAGAACAGACCGGCTCAGAGGTCATAGACTTCAGAACACCACTCTCAAAAAGGGTTCGAAGCTGACTGTACGTTCTCCTCAACATCTTCAGGGCATAAGAAAAAGACGCCCAGATGTTATGTAGAATGCGAAACATGATGCGAGTCAACACAAATGAGAGACAGGAAAAACTGGTTGGAGATACCTGCCTTGACTTATCTCAAATGCAAGAGGAAAAGGGAAAAAACACAACACAAGCCGCTCAATTGAGATTGAGATCACTCAGAGGGAATAATTCCAAGAGAACTTGAGAATGCCATGGACTCCTCGTGCTAAAGAAAAGGGCGAGAAAGGACAAAGGATGAGAAAATAGAGGTGCCCGGAACTCAGAAAGAAGATGAAGGGAACGAGAAACGAAGGCTGTTAGAATTGTATCAAACAATTCTCCTTTCACCCGGTATCTGAAAGCCATTTACCTCTTGGTCCAGGCTAGCCTGTTAGCAACACTAAAGAGCTGCTCACTCAGGAATGCTGCCGAAGGATGGATCCTTGACACTGCCACCGGCATCTCCAAGACCAGCAACAGGTCTGTTGTAAGACCAGCCTGCGAACTGCTGCTGCATTGTCTGTGACAGAACTGGCCCATCGACGTACGAGTCCTGAGGTGCCTCCGAAGTGAATTCCGTGTCGAAGTTGGTGGTATCAGATGCGCCCATCTGCAATGGTATGGTTAGTGACAGGGGTTGGAAAAAAAGGGGAGATTGATACATACCACATTCGGCCGGAAACTTGGCTCATACTTCCTCTGAAGAAGCTTTCTCCAATCAATATTGGCGAAGAAATGGTGCGACTTGATCTCTGCCGCACCGTTGGCGCCAAGACGACGCTGAGGATCACGATCAAGTAGCCTCGTCAGAAGGTCACGAGCGGCCGGAGGAACGATGTCGCTGCTGGGGAAAGTCAGGGGTTCTTGTAGAATCTTCCGGTACATGTCGTTTGTGTTCTCGTCATAAAACGGAGGAAGGCCAGTTAGCATCTCGTAGAGAAGGACACCCAGAGTCCACCAGTCGACAGTTTTCGTGTAACCGTTGCCAAGCAAGAGCTCAGGCGCAAGATATTCAGGAGTTCCGCAAAAGGCTATACGACCTATCAGCCATTGAATGGGAAGGATAATCTTCAAAATAGGCGACTTACTGTTCGTCCGATCTTCGTCCTTCATGTCCAACTTGCAAAGACCAAAGTCACAAAGTGCAATGTGGCCCGTGTAGTCAAGCAGGATGTTTTCGGGCTTCAAATCACGATAGATGACCTTGAAGCCATGTAAGCATTCAAGCGCACAGAGTAACTCGGCCGTGTAGAAACGAGCCCGGTTGATATCGAACCGCTGCTCCCGCTGGAGGTGGTGGAACAACTCTCCGCCATTGACGAATGCGAGAACCAAGTAAAGCTTCTCAGGAGACTGGAACGAAAACTTCAGAGGAACGATGAAAGGATTGTTGATCTGGGCGAGCACGGACCGCTCCGCCAGGGTGTGTGTGACTTCCGATCGCGAGATGATATGGGCCTTACGAATGGTCTTGAGAGCGTAGATTCGACCAGTGTCTTTCTTCCTGCGAAATAAGTCAGCACAATCATTAAAGAAGGCGTAGTCGAGCCGAATACTGACATGACTTGCATCACCTTGCCAAAACTACCCTTACCCACAACCTTCAACAGATCAAAGTCTTCCAGCTTCAAGCTGCGTTGCTTGTTTTCGACAAAGGAGACCCCAATCTTGATCGATCCCGTACCGAACTGAAGATCGAGCCACTCTGCGCCTAACTGACCCAAGTGACGCTCGTTATTTGCATGAGCCGCGGCTGCCTTCTGATTATCCCTCTTGCTGAGCTTGGGATCGTCCACATAGGGTTGGGCTTCTTCGAACCGAGGGAGAACTCTGACCGCACCAAGGAAGATGTCCTCGCTCCGACCGGCGCCAGGTCGAGCTGACGGATTGCGAAGATATAACTGGACGTTCAGTTCGGTCTTGCGAGACACATCGAACTTGAAAGCGGTGTTATCGCCGGCCCAAAGAGGATTCTCAGGTGTTCCGGAAACAGCATCGACAAAAACCTGGTTCTTTTCGAAATCCAGAAGAGCGTAGGGGAGGTACTTGGTCGAGTAGCGACCGTGGATTGTCGGAGCAGCATTGATGCCACCGCTCGTGGACTGCGGACGGCCGCTCTGCGCGAACGAAGTCGCTTGTCCATGGGTAGAGTGGGAAGAAGAGGAGCTGGGACGGACTGAACTCGAATAGTTGTTGTTCTGGAAGTGCGAAGTGAAAACCTGCTGGAAATGCGGGGAAAGTGCAAAGCCCCGCCCTTCATGAAGAGTGACTATCAAGATACCAGGCTTGACAGGGTCGACAGGTGGTGAAACGAGCGACTCCGAGGCATCTTACACCACGTTAGAGGCGATATAGTTTGTGTGATACGATAAGAGTGAACATTTGGGGCAAAACAAGGGGGGNGGACAGAAACAGCAGGCTACACAGGGAGTGAGAAGGGACAAGGAGAGCACATACTGATTCCGTTGGAGTTCGTGGAGGAAATACTCGGGGTCTGCGAAACTACCGGAGTCTCTTCGCCGGATTCACCTTTGATGGTGGATGTGGAGGATGAGCGGGTAAAGGTGTTTGTCAGAGGCGCAAGATGCGTTTCCTTCAACTCTGCAATAGAAGAACAGAAATATCAGTACCACGTACAAATACAAGACATTACTATCAATAGGGAATGGGAAGACCAACTCAACATACTTTTAGTGAGCTTCCACGACATTGTGACGGCGAGTCTGGGGGGAAGCGGTTTAAGGAGAGGGGCGATGATAAAAGAAGATAGATGGATGTCCTCCGAACGGAACCAAAATAAAGGAAAGGAGAGAGAGCGCGAAAGGACAAGTCGATGATTGTTTTTAGAAACACAATCGCCGTTGTGAAAGTAAATAATTGAATCAATCCAATGCGAGAGGATACTGAGTTGCCACAGCCACAGCGGACATGCAAGAGAGAGTGAATCTCCTAAGATGATCGATAACAGGTGACTGAGGCACAACACGGGCAGAGGGATAAAGAATGAGGAAGTATGAGGTGATCCTCAGGGAAAATGACCAGGGTCGCGAAAGGGAGTCGTCGGTCGGAAAAGAGAACACGACCCCAGGTTGATGTTGTTCTGAGATAGTAAGAGAGGTCTAAGTCCAAAATAATAATAATAGGAATGAAGAAGGGAGGGGGATTAGACACTCCGTCCTACTAAGACCGAGACTTTCAGTTAGCCGTAGCGTAAGTACCTCCACTAGTCGAATATCGGGTCTCTTGACAGGCTGAAGAGGGGAAAGGAAAGAGAGTCCCGTGATTGGCTACGGTCCAGAAACATCACTGTTGGGTGTGCCTTTATGCCTGAGGCCAGCGTAATTCTGTTTTGGTACCAATTGGGGCTGTGCAATTTCCCTCAGCCCCAGTTGGTTGTTTCAGCCACAGCCCCCGTTGTCGCCCACCGAATTCGAACAATTCTAACTGGTATTGCTGGAGACTACTCCATAGGTGACCAGTGAATCAAAAGAGAGAGAGATTAAATCAATTGATCAATCTGAATCAACACAACAGGCCCCAAAATTTGGTGAATCGATCATCATCTATCATTCGCAAACACTATATTCCGATCACACTAGCCTATCTTTCCTTGTTATCCCAGTCTTGGTTTGATTGACCAGTTACAACTCCCCGCGTACCTCCGCTTCGGCTGCGGAGACATACATATCCCTTTGTTATCAGCCTCACTGCCAAAACCCCCTCGACAACTTTAACTCTTTCTTTTGTTGATGAACCTCGGCCTCAGCGCACAATAGTTGCCCTCTCAGATTACTGGAGGGCTCATTCGCGTGTTCGCAACGGATCAGGGTACAGAGGAGGATGATAGGAACTCACAATCGATGGGTGTAATACGGAAGAAGACCGCCTCACGCGGCACCGAAGCAGGCACCAAGTATCACTGTGATATCTGCTCGGCAGATGTGACGTCGACGGTATGAAAATTCTTTGATTATCTGCTCGATGGAAGCATAACAAGCGATAGCTGATTTGACGGGATGAGTGTAGGTTCGCATATCATGCGCCCATCCCGCCTGCCACGAATACGACCTCTGTGTCCCCTGCTTTGCGGCCGGTGAGAAATCAAAAAATCATGACCCATCCACCCATCCGTACCAAGTCATCGAACAGAATTCAGTTCCCATATTTGAAGAAGACTGGGGCGCCGACGAGGAACTACTGTTATTAGAGGGTGCAGAGATCTACGGATTGGGATCATGGGCGGACATTGCAGATCACATCGGCGGATATCGCACAAAAGACGAAGTGCGCGATCACTACATCAGGACGTACATCGAAAGCTCTAATTTTCCCCTACCCGAACGAGCGGATCCCGATGATACGAGCCTACAAGATTCCATTTCCAAGGAGGAGTTCCAGGCCCGTAAGAAGCGACGTATTGAAGAGCGCAAGGAAGCGGCCAAGGCGGCTCCTCCAACGACGCCCAAGCAAAAACCTACTGCCAGTGTACCAGCTTGCCATGAAGTGCAAGGCTACATGCCTGGTCGATTGGAGTTCGAGACAGAGTTCATGAACGAGGCCGAAGAGGCGGTGCAGCACATGACCTTCGAACCGGGCGCTGGAGAAACGCCAAATGGGGAGACGGATGCGGAGATGGAACTGAAGATGACCGTGGTTGACATCTACAACTCGCGTTTGACTGCGCGGACGGAGCGGAAGAAGATTCTGTTCGAACATAATCTGCTGGAATACCGGAAGAACACGGCGATGGAGAAGAAGCGCACCAAGGAAGAAAAGGATTTGTTGAACAAGGCCAAGCCATTTGCGCGGATGATGAACCATGAGGACTTTGAGGAGTTCAACAAGGGCTTAGAGTACGAGCACAATCTTCGGTTGGCCATTGCGCAGCTGCAAGAATGGCGCCAGATGGGCATTGGCGACCTCAAGGGCGGAGAAAAGTACGAGCAAGAGAAGCAGCAGCGCGCGCAAAGACTCCTGCCGCAGGGTTCGTTTGATCGGTTCGCCAGCACTCGCCCGAAGCAGGTGCAGCAGCCTGAGCAGCCGTCCGCGGCCAGTCAACTCACAACACCCGAGCTTCCTCTGCGCTTACAAAAAGCCTCAGGTGCAAACAAGGTTCCCGAGCCGGCCAACGTCCTCCTGAACGATTTCGACCGGGCTTTCGCCAGTAACGGAGACGGACTGAGTACACCCCAGCCCACAAAAACCAAGTTTGTGGTGCAGCCACTGAACGGAGTGATTCCGTGGAAGCTGGAGAATGAAGGCGCACCGGATCTGCATCTCTTGACCAAGGAGGAAGTGGAGCTCTGCAATGTACTTCACATCCAACCCAAGCCATACCTGGTGATCAAAGAGACGCTGTTGAAGGAGGCGATGAAACAAGGTGGGAGTCTTAAGAAGAAGGATGCACGGGCTATTTGCAAGGTAGGATCCACATCTTTGTCGTTCCGCTCCGTTTACTAACAGAGCATGGTATGATAGATTGATACTACGAAAACAAGTCGAATCTACGATTTTATGGTGCACAGCGGATGGATCAACAAGGCGTGATTAATCTGGGCCGATCTTTACACGAGTTGATGCGTATATTTGATATCCAAGATCATTGCCATAAGAGGAGTTCTGGCGTTGGCGATGGGGAGGTAATTTGGCGAGTCCAGTGTGGCATGTTTGCTGCGAGTAAATAGGTGTAAATATAGCTTCATTTTTCACTTTCATAATGATCTTTGAACAACTTATCCTGTAATTTTAAAATTAAGGGTCTAATGTACCAGACAGTTAGCTACTCAGACACTGTGCGCCGCGACTCCGCATATCACAGCTTCTCGGGCCTCGGCCTCTCCACATCAACCGACAGTTCATACCTAGAGCTAGAAAAGGTAGCTCCATATATCCTCTCGCTCCCCCAACAACACCTAGAATCAACTCTCATTCCTCCTGCATTCGACCCGTTGGACGTCTCAAAGAAACAAAATCAATCAGAAATGCCCTTCACAACACCCCCACCAAACCCGCAGCACGCAACCCTCTCCTTCCCATCCCCGCACATCCTCCTCGTAACCCTCAACCGCCCCCGCGATCTAAACTGCATCAACACAACAGGCCACCAAGAACTCAATTCCATCTGGCATTGGCTGGATGACGAGCCGTCGCTGCGCGTGGGGATCCTCACCGGAACTGGGAGGGCGTTTTGCGCCGGCGCAGATCTAAAAGGTACGTTACGGTGCCTTTCCTCTCACCTATTACCAAAGATGAAGATGAAGATGAGGATGAGGATGAGGATATTGATGCTAATGGTACATGTCCCGGTAGAATGGAACACCCAAGCTCAGTCGAACAGCACCCGGAAACCCATGCCGGAGGGCGGCTTCGGCGGCTTATCAAGGCGCAGCGGCAAGAAACCCGTCATCTGCGCCGTCAACGGGCTGTGCCTCGGCGGTGGATGTGAGATGGTCGTCAACGCGGACCTGGTCGTGGCCTGTCGGCAGGCGTTCTTCGGGCTGCCTGAGGTGCAGCGCGGGGTTGTTGCCATCGCGGGGGCGTTGCCGCGGGTGGTTCGTACGGTGGGCCGGCAGCGGGCGATGGAGATGGCCTTGACGGGGCGGAGAGTCTCGGCGGACGAAGCGAAAGAGTGGGGGTTTGTCAATGAGGTGGTGGACGAGGCGAACCAGGTAGTGAAACGGGCCATCGAGATCGCGGAGCTGATTGCGGCCAACAGTCCCGATGCCGTGGTGGTGAGTCGGGAAGGCATCAAGTTGGGTTGGGAGGGAGTCGGCGCAGAAGATGGCAGCCGGTTGCTCGTCGATACCTGGTCAAAGAGGCTGTATGAGGGGGAAAACATCAAGGAGGGTCTACGCGCGTTTGTCGAAAAGAGGAAGCCCAAGTGGGTGGATAGCAAGTTGTAAATGTGACTCCATTTGCGTTGGTTGTCTTCCATCTATGCGTACAAACGATGAACTTTCAGTCTACCAAATACAAACTACAAGGAGAGAACAAATGCAATCAAAGAAATTCATTAGACTCGGTGCTCTGCATCCAAGTCGGGGTAACGAGGTCATGATAGTGTATGCTAATCCCATAATCCCAGTAATCCGTCGCGCCGACCAGTTGTTCGCCGTATCCCATGCGGTTCAGTATCCGTCCCGCGGATGAACCAGTTCAACGTCGCTTCGAAATATCATAACGTGTCGTCATGGACCGTTCACAATACGTAGTCGACTTGGGCCCTCTGTCTCAGGCTTTTGTGGTCACGACGGAGTGTCAATGAGAACAAAAACTGGTTGGCGAAAGGGTTGCAAAGACGGTACGGATAATGAAAGTCGAGTCAGGTTCGTAATCAAGCGGTTCGAACCTCTACTTGCTGTCCTTCTGCACCTTGGCCACGACGTTCTGTACTGGCTCATACAGAGGATGGCTCTTTTCCAGTCCAGTCAGCTTGGAAGTGGCCTCATCGGCGGACATCTCCTTGAGGATTTTGGCCAATTCAGCGCTTTCTTCATCGCCGGGCACATTCTGGAAGCGGAGAGCCATCTCGATCGAGCCGAGCAGTGCGTCAAACGGCAAGCCCTTCTCAGCCAGTTGCGAGGCAGGCCCGACGAAGCGCTCGTTGCGAGACAACTTGCGCAGGGGAGCCCGTCCTACACGCTCAACGTTGTCTTCCAGGTATGGGTTGGACATACGTTTGATGATAGTGTCGACGTAGTCCTTCTGCTCCTGCTCGCTGATCTCGTGCTTGGTTGTAATGAGGTTGGCGGTCTGTTCCAAAACTTTGTGGACAGTCTGGCGGATCTCGGCGTCGTTAAGGGCGTCAGCAATCATCTTCTTGCCGCGCACGTGACCGTAGTAGGCAGTGGTGGCATGGCCGGTGTTGACAGTGAAGAGCTTGCGTTCAATGTAGGGCTCTAAATGATCGACCCAGTGAATGGCAGGGATATCCGGATGGCCGAATTCACCAAAAGGAGTCTGCTCCACCGTCCATTCGTAAAATTTCTCGATGCGGACGTTGAGGCCGGCGTTAGGAGGCTGGTTGGGGACGATGCGGTCGATAGCGGAGTTGGCGAAACGAGCACGCTCACTCATAGTGCTGAGACGGTCCTTGTCGGTGTTCTGCTCGATGAAGCCGCGTAGGGTATCGGTAGCACCAATGGCGTTCTCACAAGCAATCACTGCGACGGGCTTGGACGCGGTACGAGCATCAATACCCTTGGCAATGACAGGAGCAATGAACTTGAGAATGTTAGGGCCGACGGCACAAGTGACAACGTCAGCGGTAGCAATCTCTTTCACAACGTCACTCTCGTTTGTCTTGGAGTTGATGGCACGGTAGTTGGTAATTTTCTTTGTTTTCTCGCCCTCTTCACTGACTTCAGTGACCTCATATGAAGGGGTGCTCTTCAGATCATTGATGACCTTGTCCACCACATCAATGAAGACAACTTCGTAGCCAGCTTCATGGAGGAACTCAGCGACAAAGCCACGGCCGATGTTACCACCGCCGAACTGGATAGCCTTCTTTCCCATGATGTTTGTTTTTGGAACTGGAGATGAGTTGGGGAAGTTGAAGAATGGAAGATCAGTGGTGAGAAGACAGGAAGAGTGACACTGAGAGTGGAAGGGTAAAGTAGAGTAGGAAGTGTAAGAAGCGTAGAAGAGCAGAAGAGTAGGGGAGAGAGAGAGAGAGAGAGAGCTAGTCAAAAGATGAGGAAGGATCACGAGGAAGTGTCTGGATGAAGTGAGGGATGTGAGTGATGTAATGAAGAATGATGCGGAAGAGGGGAAGGGAGGCAGTATTTATTACAGTCAATAACGAGATCAGATGCAGATGGAAAACAGAAAAGAGAAAGAGGGGGAAGGGCGATGATGGAACGAAACCCAAAACACAAAACCGGATTGGAAGGAACAGCGTGGATTCGATCGTGTGTTGACGCTATTCACTGGATCCCATTCTCAGCTGTGTTACATGCATACATCCTAAGGCCCAAAAGAGAGCTGAGGGGCTGTTAAAATGGTGGGGGAGGGGTTTGATGGCTGGTTACTTCACCGGATGGCTTCATTTAGTTTGAATTATCTTGATTGTGGCTGGTATTAGTTTAATTAGCATCCTTGAGATAGTGACATTTCCGTTGCACTGTGCTCCGTGGCTTTTACCATCTAACCATCATCAAATGCTGTGAAGATCATAGTAAATTGTAGGATAATGATTACATGACCACTCTACTGGTGGTCTCCTCCACCTCGGATGTGCAATCCGCCTCATGGAAGAGAGTAGAAGTATGTACCATACAAAGTAAATATTGAGACCCATAGCTATTCGATGTGTCCAAACCCAAATGAAGCGGAAAGGCCTCATCTTCCAGGGGACGGACCTCCATTAGCACATGAAACCGCATCTCGGAAGCTGTGCTCCGGTGGTTCCCGCATTCCCAGTCCTATCCAAAATCATGCATCCATAGCAACTCAACTGTCTGCCTAAACTTCTTGGGCATCTTTGAATATGTTTTTCGCCGGAGAATTAGTCCGTCTTTCCGGTGAGTTGATTCAAGTATCCCACTTCTACAATTTCAATATCATGACTGAATGATGTTGTTTCGTGGTTCAACCATCGATCCCGTCGAGTGGAGTTCGTTCATAGTATTACTGCTATGTCACTCATTCGACGTTCTTCTATCATTAGATACTACCTACATGGTGAATCCAGAACTTGTGCATCGGACGTCATCAACTTAATCCTCTTGATGATCAGCTACGCTCCACTACAGTTTACCATCACTCACTCCTAGGTAGAGAGAAACATTACAAAGTGGTTGTTGTTGAAGTCATTCGACGTTGATCCCATCTGGGTCCACTTATGACGTCGCCAACTCCCGCAAGGCCCAGTTATTTTTCTCGCTATGTGTGTTTTGATGGGCTGAGCCTGAAGCCCCAGGGGTCCCTATGGGTCCACCATGACGGCTATAAGTGCTAGACATTAGAATTGAATAGAATAGCGCTTCCTATGGGTCATCAAATCTATATCCAACGAATACTATTTGCACATTCCTCCGTTCCTGGCCTCACTTTGTTTCTCCTCTTTTCCGTCATGCATTTCCCTACCTTTCTCTTACATTCTCTCACCACTGTTACCGATCCAAGTTCATTGCTCCATTACCCCTGGCTTTTCCTCTTTCATCGATCCGTGTTCACTTTGGTCTTCACCGAATCCGAATCCTCCTCAAGATACAGGACCGGCTCCTTGGCCTCGTGTCCGACTTCCGCCTCGGGTTCGGGTCTCGGATCAGGCCGGGAACGGTCGACGAGGACAAACAGCAGACTCGCGATCCCGCCGACGAGCAACAGCCCGACAGCCGCCCATGTCATGCCTAGAAATTGGTTGCCATATCTGGCGGTCACACCCGACTGTTTGCCATGATAGTTGACGAGGTTGACGAATTGGAATGCGATCACGGTTGCGACTATCGAGGCAATGCTGAGGCTGATGAAACTGATCTGTAGTGCCGAGTAAGATCATGATAGTTAGTTTGGTTGCCATACAGCCTGCAGTCGGGACTCGAGAGCCAGCCAAGCAGCTTCCTACGTACCAGAAGAACAGACACCTCAGCAATCGTCTGCCGTGGTCCCTTGACTAGAAGAAACCACAATCTCGCCAGAACGACCAGACCGGCAGTCCCTACTCCAATGCAGTAGAAGACTCCCATGCTCTTGCTGGTGATCTTGAAGGCGCGGAAATCGTCGCTGACAGCGGTTGGCCATCCCATGTCCGCCAGCGAAGTAGTATTTCCCGTTTCTTTCAAAAGCACTTCGGACGGATTAAATGAGAATAGCGCGGTGCGATCCGAGCAACCCGTCAGGTTCTTTCGTTGACCCGTCTCGTTGAGATCAAGGAAGCCCTCGCAATAGGACATAACGTGTATTGAGTAGAAATCGTGCATTCCCGGTTTCTTCGCTGCTAATGTAGATGTGTAGATCTGGCACACACATCAGCAAAAGGGAAACACACCCCAGAGGGGAGACAGCCAACTCACTGTGAGAATATCCGCACCCGAGAGGATATCCTTCTTCGTCCCCGCAAAAAGACATAATATGCTCAGTATGAAGGCGATGAATGCGCAGACGGTAGGTAGGAAGATCAACAGTCGAGCCATCTTCGATGAGTAGCTTTGCGTTCTCAACTCAATGTCAAAGAGGAAATTGATCAACGGCTGTACTGTCTGACAGCCTGAGGATGAGGGACGACCCGTTTCATTTTGTATAGACTCTACCCTCAGAGCTCGAGCAAGAGGATCATTCCTGGCGATGGCAGATCAACATTGAAGGCATGCTCCTGAACACGTGGTGGAAGCCTGGTCATATCTGCATTTGCGGAACCACACCCGGATCAGTGATTACTGGGAGAATACATAGCCGTGGAATGCTAGCAGTCAAAGTGAGAAGTAAGTTCCGAGGGATGAGGTAGGCTGGGTTCGAAGAGTGTGAGGAATGTATGACCAGCCTCAGGCATGCCCGCTCGCCAACTCAGCCCTAGAAAGCGTAGTCTTTGTGGCTTCACTATTTCCATTTGACCATGACTCAGATGCGGAAACATGCTAAGTTATCGTCCAGTCACTTGGAGAAATGAAGGGTGGATGGTAACGATCCAGTTTGCTGAACCCTTCAGAATGCGCGGGTCCAACCACCCCAGCCACAACTATTGGGGACAATCCTAACGAGATAAGCTCATTCTGCTGAATTTCCGTCAACGCAAAACTAATAGACTCTAATAATTCAGAGCAGTATCGATAGACCCTGATGTCAAGGTTCTACTAGTGGTGTTGTGCGGGAAATTTATGCGATTACATATAGTAGTATTTATAGGTAGCTCTACGTGTCATTCTTCTCGTACACACCGTACCATCCTAGCAGCCAGGTCACCCAAGCAAAACAATCTTCTTTTGTTTCGTCATATCATCAGCTCCACCGTGTTGGATGGCAGATTCCAGTGACATGTGAGCATCTGGCTGTCAAAGATCTCCCAGTGTGCTGATTCCTTAAACCCGAAGATACTGGAGGCTATTGGCCATATATCTTGCCCTACTCCTTAATCCCATTTCGGTGTCAAAAACCTAAGACATTCATAAATCATTGTAGGTCTAGACCATTCAACCCAAGAAGCCAAGCCAGGTATATTGCCGTGTTTTGAGAGCTACAGAGTTAGGGTATATACCAAGAAATATGAGCCCCCAAGGTAAGTCTAGCTCCTGAGCAGACTCGTTTAAGGTGTATTCTCGTCAATCAGTCTGACATCCCTTCCGTGTCGGTCTCGCTGAATTCCTCTGCATCACACATGTCAGCAGCTAGCATCATCTATCAGGCTGAGAGCTGGCGCTTACCCTGTGCAAGACTGAAGTCAAAGGTCCCATCAACATTGTGTCTCAAAATATCGCGGATTAAGCTCTGTGCTTCCTCTGTGAGACTTGTTATTGAGTTCAAAATTGAGAGACTCATTCCTATGTTACCCGGCCCCAATTGCGAAATGAAATCGAGTATACCCTGAGCCGTGAACTCGCTGAGCGCATGGATGGCCAGACTTCGTAGCTTTGGAAGGCATAAAATGGCACCCCATACGTCATCATTGAAGAGATCACCTCCGATCCACAATTTCTCCAAATCGGGGAGATATGGAGCGAATGACATTAGATGATCAGGTGTGAAATAATCGGAAATATCCTTGAGCTCGAGTTCATGCAGGTTGTGTAGCTGGCAAATGGCTTGGACAAGCAACTCGTTATCTTCGGGAATCTCGGACCCTTCCCCTCGAAGACTGAGACGTTGCAGAGAATCTTGAGATGCCAAAGATCTGTGGAAGTCACGACTGCCAGCCATTGTGTACCCAGTCAGAGACAAACTCAGCAGCTTAATATCTTGGGCAACCAGAACACGAGCCAGTAGAAACGCGTCATCAACAAATCTTCTAAGCTCCAGGTGTCGCAGGGCCTTGCAGCCGCCAATCCAATCAGAAACTCGATTGATTGTGGAATAAAAGTCTTCGTTCCGTGCTGCTGGTGTTGAATCGGTCAACACAAGCACCTCCAGCACTGGCGCCGCTGTTAATGAAGGCAACTCTGCAATTGCTTCGATCCCAAGGCTTGTCAATTTCAGTTCTTTTAGTGATTTCAACTGCGTGCCTATAGCTCTTATCGAGCGTGGCCCTAAGTGACAAGAGCTCAGCATCTCGAAATACTCAAGGCTGTGAGGCTGGAGTCCGTGGAGAAACTCCTCAGCATCAGTCTCGGAATTTCGGCCTCGTCCGTCGATCCTGGCCGACTCAGTGAATATACTGCTTTGCCGAGCACCAACACTGATATCTTACCATCTATATATCGTGATTTGCTTGAAATCGGGGCAGTGGGTTCGAATTTTGTCACCAGCATGGTCGGTTAGAGAAACTCCAGACCAGATAGTCAGATTCTGTAACAATGGGAGTTCTCCCAGCCACTCGGCCAATAGTGAAGGTTCGACTAGAAGTAGTCGAGACGTCAAACTTGCTTCTGGAATAGAGGCCCGTTTCGCTAGATATTTCGGACTTCCCACTTACTGTCGCAGGACATTCCGCGTATCGAGGTAGTTCTTTTGATAATAGCTTTGATCTTTTCAGCTTCTAGAAGAACAACCATGAATGGGCTGCATATCCAAGGGAGCTTGGATACGGTACATCCGGGCAGAAGACTAACCAGTACCAATCTTGGATAAGATCCAATCATTATCAGGCAGATTCCGCAGTGAGCGAAGACGCTTATTTCCCTTGGGCTCATAATCATAGGACACAAGGTCCCGAAGTTCCGGAGTAAAGAACTCGCTACATCTTGTCAAATACAGTTCCCGCAAGTCACGCCGGGACACATACTCTTTGATCTTCCCAGTGAACGAACTATGGCTGAGGAGATTCGATAAATCATTGAGATCCAAGTACCGAATGTAACTGTAATACGGAAGATAGGTTTGGTCAAGAGCAGAAAGCACAATAGAGCGCCACATAGAGGCCCATTTTCGTCGAGTATATGTCGAGTCCAGGATGCCAAGTTCAGTCCCACCGCCTCTGACAGGAGAGAGTTCGTGTGATCTGTATTCCCAGGGTCAGCAAATCTGTAGAGGAGAATAACGTAAGACATATGAACAAACTTATATATAGCGGTAACAGCTTGCTCAGTGAAACACTTCGCAGATACAGCACACTGGAACAGACTGTTGAAGTCCTTCTCTTGTCCCAGGATCTCGACGATGAGGTAGATAATGTCACCAGGCAACGTTGAGGCCATACTCAAGGCGGATTTTCACCCGTCTCCGTCGAATCTCCAAATAATAACACTGATCAGATGCAACATGCAAATAGATTGCTCAAAATGGAAGACTTGCCTGCTGTTGATGCTGCCCTGTGTTGCGGTCGAGTAAGCCTTACTTCCAGGCACAGCTTATGTAAGCTCGCGTCGTGACTTGGAGCGTTTGAACAAATCGATCAGGAGGAACGACAACGAAAAACATCATTATTATAGGGTTTACAGCAGTAGGATGATGACATTTTGATAACACTGGAATTGGAATCTCGCGTCTTGATCCCTCTAAAGACGGACATGACATCGCTGTTTTTCTCACTCAACCCAGAGGCATTAGGGCGGATGCACGATGCCCTTTTATGTCTGGCCAAATTCAGTGAGACGGTCTCTATAGAGGCTGAATCTGCTTTAGTGAGATCATACAGGACCATCTGAAGTACAATGAGTGTCACAATGGCTGACGAAAACTGTAGTTTCGACTAAGCGTCATCAACTCCAGCAAAACCGCCTATGCTTCATTTGTCCTCGACGGAGCAAGTTTCTTCACTACTTATTCATTCAGTCATAATGGCCAGAGCGAAAATGTCCGCTCGGACAGATTCTGCTGCCAAATTTATCTCAAAGTGAGAATCGCCCAGAACCGAGCGTTGAGTGATGAGGCTGACTAAGAAAGGCTTTGCTGTCCATCTTCAAAGGGAGAACCACTGGACGAGATAAGGACACAGCGGTCGAACGGTGCGAGTTTGAACTCAACGAAGATCCGGAGGAGACAGAATGTAGGCTCGTCATTAGAATGATTTGTGGACTGGGTGCGTCTTCCTAGTCGGTCTCCGTCGCTCAGGAGTCCAAATTACTTATCGAATGGCTTTCTCGACTCGGCAGGCGTCATTAGGACTTACAAACTCACTTATGAACCGACTACCGCTCAGCATGCCATCTTCGACAGATCTAGGGCGACTAATAAGTGGAGCATTGAGCCCAGGTTTTTGAAGGAGATTACCGACCACTTTAGTCCGTCAGCAGAGCAACTGGATATCTACTCAGATGGTGGCAAGGCCATCTTTACGAGCTTTACAACGAAGATCACTGACGGGCAAGGTCTGTGCCATTGAGTAGCTCTGTTGGCCAACTGGAACTGACTAGTCTGCTGGCAGAAATCCTCAAACAACCAGTACACACGTCCGTGGCTATCGATAAAAGAGACTTTGAGGACTTTTCGGCTGAAGATGAACTTCATATTGCCATTACTTTGAAGGACTTCAAAGCGATTATAACGCATGCAGAGACAACAGGCGTGCTGGTAACCGCTCGGTACACTCGCCCGTGCAGACCACTGCAGCTCGCATATGACTTCGAGGGGGTTAGGACCGAATTCACCTTGATGACGACAGGCGAAGATGATAGTGAGGACTTCCCATCATCGCGAGTAGCCGTTCCCGAGCTGTCCGCAAGACAAACGCCCGCGCCTGTGCACGTCTCCCAAAACCATGCTGCCTCGAATACCGAACAGATGCCACCTCCTCGCAGTCGATCAATTCGGCCGCTGACTGGGACAACCAACCGCGTCACAGAGACTAACGTTGAGAGTCAGCAGCCACCGCCACCATCAATTCGCTTTGACAGTCTGTTTGTACCAGCCGATGATGACAGGCAGTGGGATGTGCCGAATGAGGAAGGCGAGACTATGGCTGAGGACACGCTTGGCTGGGACGCTACAGCTGATCAGGTAAGGGCTCCGAGGGCGTATTGTGGAGGAGAATCATTGATCGTTCTTTTCAGGAAACATTCAATGCAAGCCTTGGACCTCGCTTGCGAGACACTGAACCCGTTCTGCCACATGATTCAAACCAGCAAGAGCCTCAGGAAGAAATGGGCATTCCTCCAACACAACGCATTTCACAGGTTGGTCGACGCCTCTGTCAAAGAACGAGCTAACAATCAGCAGGTTCGTGGTCTTGGCCTTTTCGATTAGATTGTTGATGTCCATTGCCGTCAATTTCGAAGTCCAGCGGGTGGATCACCCGGGATCCAGTCTGCAAGATGACTCAACCAGTAATTAAGTTTCCTGGCATGGCAAGTTGCAGGGTGGTCATGATGTTATAATCCAGCTGGTTGCACAGCCTGCACCAATGCCGATAACCTTGGAGCCCTGAAGCATCTCAAGCGGAACTTGCTTGTACGTTCCATTCACGTTGCCTTGCGCGTCGATATCAGGGCCACAGTTGCCGTGTTCACCCCACCCAAATGCCGCAACGGTGTGCTCATCAAGCAGTGCCAGAACATGTTCACTTCCCACAGCCAGTTTCTGAGACCGAGGCAGGTCCGGAGGAGGAAGCTGGCCTCGATCGTTCCGTCCCCAGGCGAAGACAGAAAACTCGTTCTGATGTACATAGACACCATGCCAACTGGATGCTATACCCCGGTAGTCTGTCAACGAGTGGGATGCAGGAGCATCAGACAGAATATTCCACTTGTTATCGCATGAGCCAATAATGGCATATTCCCCCGCGGCCTTGTTGCCCGAAATTACTGTAAACTCGCGACCACATACTGCACTCTTGGCTTGGAAGAAAATTCCTTCCACTTTTACAGGACGCCATACAATCTTCATTCCCCTGGCTGATTCTCCAAGTTGACCCTTCCTTGCTCCTCCCCAGCCATAAACCTCCCCATTCGACAACACCACAACCGTATGCCCCATACCACTAGCAATCGACACCACTTTTGTCCCTTGAGGAGGAAAATCAGGGATCCTTGTCGGCTCAACGGCCTTCGTGTATCCCTGTCCAAGTCCTAGCTCTCCCTTCGCTCCGGAACCAATCGCAAATATACTGTCCGCCTCACCAGACGGGTCCTCAGATCCAGCAACCAGGAACGTCCCCTCCCACGTCGCCGACAAGTGCTTGAACGTCCTATAGAAAGTACCATCATCTCCACTATTGACAACCACCCGCTTGAACATCTGCAGTGACGCAGTTGCGGGGTTGTGTCCGCATCTGCCATCCTCGTTACAGCCGGCGGCATATACTGATCCGTCTTGATACAAGATGAGGGTATGATTTCCCCCGGCAACGATACGGGAGATATTCTTCGCGTGTGTGCCATTTCCCTCTTCAGAAGGTGTCTGGTCTCCTTCAAATAGGCATCTTGTAGGGACAGAGACGTCTTCATCGTGTCCGATGCCCAGTTGGCCCGATCCGTTCGACCCAAATGCGAAGAGCGGCATGCTAGATGGCTCTAATTTGACGGCAATGGCTCAATATCGCATTTGCTTTAGTGTCTGGTTGGCGACAGTATTCTGGAACCATGGCCGATGCAGAAGTGTTGAAGTCCAGACTTCGATGTGTAAACAGCAATCAAACCCACCGCCTCCTTGAGCGCCTACTATTAACGCACTAGTCCTTCCTTCTGACTGGCAGAATTCTTCGAATAATGTGAGTAGATTGCGTAATTTCCAGTTCTGGAAGTCCATGATTGAACATCCCGCAAGTTTACTGCGCGATGATCGTCACTACTCTTGACAAAATCGACCGGAGAACCGATCACTAGAGAATATGTCATGATGTGAAAAGAGTCACTAGAAATTCATTGCCCGAGTGGGTTTCTAGACGGGAATTTAGATCTATTCACAGTTGATAACTAGTCCAATCGTCTAGAAATGAACCGAAAAAGGGTATGAGAACATTAATCCAACAGTGCTAAGCAACATTCATGCAAGAGGGTATGTATCAGTCGAAGCAAACAAAAAGTCTCCGCCCCTGGGACAGGATATAGAGAAGAGAGATCCTTCCCAAAAAAAGGAAGTATATGAAATATACAAGCTGAATTATTTTCAGAGAAGTGAAATTCGTGGTGGCGTTCTAATGTTGTGACTTCTCATTGAAAGAATCAGTCGAGTCACCCTCTTGTGCAGCAGGGGGCAGGGCGAAGTTATCCGACTTGGTGGGCTTTTCCTCCATACCACGGAACATGGGGCTGGTCCGGTGGAAGTAAGAGTGGACATGACCCTCAAGCAGAGACTCGTCAGTGTCGAACGCGAGATCCTCTCCCTTGTCGTTCTCAGAGACTTTGCGGGCCATGGCTGCCTCCCACTCAGCACGGAATTCCTCGACCTTCTGTTTGTAGTCGAGTTCGGCATCGTAGTACTTGCCCTTTCCGCGAAGGCGCTCCCAGACGGATAAGTGCTTGGAATGAACAGCAGGACCATGGTACTCGTGTTCACGACCAGAGCGGATGAAAGCCCAGCGACGCTCCTGCTCCTTCAGGTCAAGACCAGTGGTATCGGGAAGGAAAAGCCAGGTCACGACCACACCTGCCAGACCGAACCAAGGTACAACGTAGAACTTGGTCTGGGTGTCGATATAGTTATACAGAACCGATGCCAACAGAGCACCTAGCTTACCGGCGGCGGCAGACAGGCCGTGAGCTGTGGCACGAATTGGGGTAGGGAAAACTTCCGCAGCAACCAAAAAGGTGACCGAGTTGGGACCGAACTGGTTGAAGAAAGAGCTCAGGAAGTACATTGCCTGGAAAGACTTGATGTGCGCCGGCTCTTTGTAGTAAAGGAAATTGAAAGCGGGAATGACGAAGAGGATGAAATCCATCATGAAACCGACGATTTGCATCCATTTGCGCCCGTAGAGCTTGTTGTCGATAAGGAAGGAGGCAAGGTAGTAACCACACAGCGATACACCGACGTTGACCAGATTCCAGAGCCAGGTGGGCATGATCGATGTTGTCTCAGGGCTGATCACCTTGATGAACTCGCTCTGGAAGAGCTTGTTACCGTAGAAGAAGACGTCGTTGAAGAACCATCCACCAGCAGTAGCCACGATACGGAAACCAAAGTGTCTGAATGCCAGCTTCAGAGAGGTCACATCATAGCCAGTAACCGAGGCCTTCTTCTTAGCGGCCGCGAGCTGCTTGCTAGCAGCCTTCATGTGGTAGGTACGGTAGTAGACGAGCCACAGGGTGCCAACAGCAGG